AGTTTGGGAAGAAGCGGTCATGAGAGTTTCATATCCCTCCAAGCCAGGACAAAGAAGACTACTTGCATCCCTCTATTAAATTTTTAGAGATGGATTGCATTGGAGGCTTGCTGGTAGGAAGTTGTCATATATGGAGAGCTTGAATAGATACCTGGGGAGAACAGCCAACCCAGAGCATCACAGGCACTCGGAGAATGTGACGCACTTAGGCATAGATCACTGCCCGGGCCCGGCTTGCCTGAGTTGCTCAGAGAGGAAAAATCAAAAGTGTGTGTGTGTGTGGGGGGGGGGGGCGGTGCGTGGACGGGAGTCCTGGGAGATGGGGATCCAAGGAGAGAGAGGACTGAGTGTTAAAATATATGGGCTCATGGGAAATGATAAATCAAAACAAATAAGATACATATTTGAGGACCATGTCTGTGTATGAAGACAGTTTCCTATGCATCTTTCCTACAGTCAAAGAGCAAGGAGCTAAAAGCAGTTGCTCAGTGATTCAGCGTAGGAATGAGGACATGTGCGCATCTCAGGTATCTGTGGACAGCCCCTGTGATTGATTTCTGCCAAAGCAACCTTCCAGGATTAATTGCTTCTACTGTGTTTTTTATATTATTTTTTGTGTGTGTGTGTGTGTGTGTACACACACACACACACACACACACACACACACATATATATATGACTTAATAGTGGAAATGGAATAGACTGGAGGATTTATTTATAATTTAATAATTAGAGGAAGACTCATGTCAGTGAGGAGCAAGGTCACTCTGCCAAAGGCGAAGAGTCCCCATGTGACATATTTCATCTCTTCAAAAATGGTACCCTTTCATTGCTCAGAATTGTGACCCAGCGAAGATTGTGTTGGTGGTTTTATTTTTGGAGTATCAATTAGTCAATCAATCAGTTCGTAGTTATCGAGCATCTGCCCGGCACGTAGGGCACGCTCATCAAATTTGCAAATGACACAGATCAGGGTGGATGGTAAATACTCAGATGACAGACGGAGCGTTCAAAAAGATTTTGACAGCCCAGCACGATGGGCTGGATGGAGCAGGATGAACTATAAGGTGGATAAATATAAAGCCCTGTCCTTCGCTCCAGAAAACTAGCTGCCGAGGGACAGGGGACAGGGCGGGGCGCCGTGCCTCAGCAGTGAGGGGGGAAAGGCAATATTTTAGCCAATCGTCAGCTCTACTGAATGTATCCCTTTGGGCTGCGTGATGTCATTGCCAAAAATCTCGCAGGCCATTTTGGATTAGATTAAGGCGATCATCTGTTTTAATTTGGCAAGTCAGATCGCACGTAGAGATTTGAGTATTTCTGGAGCCACATTTTAAGAGGAGAGAGACCCCAAACCATGCCGTATGGAGAACATTGCAGAAACTAAACACATACGTCCCGGAGACATGGGAGAAAGACAGCTCTCTTTGCACCTGCACAGACTCTGTCATGGAAAAGGCGTACGGATTGTTGGGTGAGATCTCAGTGGTTAGAGCTGGGGCTTATGCGTTGAAGTTACAAGGTGGCATCTTTCCGTTCATCTAGCACAGTTCAAAGACGAAAGGGTTCCCCAAACCCGCAGAAGCAGAATACTGGAGTGATGGAACTTCCGGGTCCTCATTTTGGGGTAACAGCATTGCAGAGGGGCAGTCTGAGAAGCCTTACTCTGCTGTTTGGTACATCTGGGCTCCTTGAGAGAAAGGGTCATGATTTCATTCTCTTGGTCTAACTCATAGGGCCAGTGTGGGTACAGGGGTGGCCTCATTGAGTTAAATGTAAATTGGGAGTATACAGGTGACAGGAAAATTATAAACGATTTCCCAGGCGAGGAAGCCAGAGCAGGTACTCCAGCAGGGTTTTCCCCGCCCATCAGCAGTTCCTCTTGGTGCTGGAGGCCAGCAGGCGTAGAAGAGCAACAGAGATTTGACCTGGCAGTGGCACCGATGATGTGCACAGTGACTGTAATACAGGTGGACTCGGTTGCATTTTTTTCCCCTTGGTAGTTTCTCAGATATCTACTGTGTGACTTTCTGGAATTGTGAATTACACTCACATAAGAATGGCCCGGAATTGTACTTTAAAAAAAATCTAACACACTCTTGTGCTCAAGTGAGTGTGTACGTTCTATCCCAGGGATACAAACCGGACTGACAAGGTTAAACTAAACTGTGAAACCCCGAGAGAATGAAGGCGTGAGAATTTCCTGCTCCCCTGTATCTTTATTTCCAGCGTGATTTTGCATTTCTTATGAAAGGTCTCAGGCTTTTCTGCAGCTGCTACTGATTCTACCACTTTGTTCCTTCCAGCCACACCAAGGAACGTGGGTGAACTCCCTTATTCTCACAGGGGCGGAGAATGAGATAGGCGGGAAAGGGCTTTCACAAAGGGCTTTCTTTTCACAAATCAGGGATTCTATCGCATAGATGTCTATTCCCCTAAATAACTGGCAAGGGGGTCATCGGAATGAGCTATTGCAAAAAGCCACCTTCGCCTTCTCGGTTCTCCTGGGATGGGCCCCCGAACCAGAATTGCAAAGTCGTTCAGAGAATCTTGCATGTAACACACGGCACGGAGCACCAAAGAAGAGGTCATCCTACTTACAGCAAGGCGCTCGGTAGGGGAAGGAACGGCGGCCCAGAGTGTCTTGGGATCATCCTTAATCATTTCTTAAGCACCAGGGAAGTGAAAACCTCCTCCTGGGATGCACTGTATGTGACACCGAATCCTTCCACTAAGCAAATATGTGATGAGTCGATAAAAAAGAAAAGAAGAAAAAAAAAAGGGAAGAAGAAGGTCCTGAACTCTTGACTGCAGATATAATACAGTGAGCACAGAAAATCAAAAGCATGCTTTCTATCTGCCTCCAAATAAAGGTGCACTTAAACTTGTAAAGACAACATTTCTATTTGAATGATATGACAGAACCGTCACAGGAGTGTTACCTGCCATAAAGCAAGCCGGAGAATTATTGCCTTTATTAGACCAGTGACACTGAGCTTTCGCCATACATTTCTAACTTCTGTCCCTCTACAGAGACAATTTTCTTTTCTTAAATAAACTGTCATGCTAGTGTTAATATATGGCCGGCGCGCTCATGCTCTGAGAATACTGCTGATATAAAACATGTATATGTTAGATTGGTAATAGTATCTTTAGTGTAGCTGACTAGAACAAATGGGTTTCCCTCATGGCTGTGCTAATGTGATAAAGGAAAATTGGCTGTTCATCAGCTTTTGGCTGGGCAGAGACAGTGGAGAGGGAACCACATTCTTTTTTATGCATTAATACCATCGAGAACTTTCCACGAGTGATATTTCATGTGCCCCGCGTGTTGCTCAAAGATGTTGTAAAACATGAGATAATGCTACAAATAACAAAGTAGAAAAGCCGGTATCTTTTATAATGATAACAGTCAAACACCAAATGACAGTAACAGGCTGTAAAAAATGGGATGCAAAAAAATTAAATAAATAAAAAGACAGTCCTTCTCCCGCAGCGGAGAGGTATACATCCAGACCCACAGGAGTTGGCGTGTGAGTGTGTCTAGGTCTTTATGTTAAAGCTTGTGTTACAATGAAGTAAAAGGCAACATGGGGAGAGGGGGTTTAAGAAAGAACTTGGTGTAAACGAAAGAGGTTGATAGAATGGAGAAAAGCCAGAGTAGAAAACTTTCTATAAATTAATATTACCAAGTAATTATTTTGTTAACGTTCAGATTTTTTGTTTGTTTTGTTTTGGAGAAAGGTTTGTTCAAAGGGTTCTTAAGGCAGTCACGTGATTTAAAGATGCTGGAGAATTACTTGTTTTCATCAGTTTTTGTGGGGCCATTTTAATAGAATAGCATTTGAATGCTATGATTTGATATATTTTTTATTAAAATGTCAGCCTTTAAACATTTCAACTGCAAGACATTACATTTCTCTTTCTCTTTCTTGACCCCATCCACCTCACCAGCTTTTGTTTGCCAAGTCAGCCCCTGGACTAATTAGAGTGTCAGTGATTCTTTTTACATTTAACTTAAAAGCACTTACACAGGACTATTTGTAGAGACTGAAGTTGAGGTCAAAACAGCCTATCAGTTTATTTGGAGGATGCAATCATTGAGGATTTTCTAGAGATATCATCTGTGAAATAATCTGTATGAAACTTTGCATTGCTCCTCAGAGATCACTTTACACAAACAAACATTTCATAAGGTTGAGTGGTGTGAATCAAGGGACCACCAGGCTAGAACCCCTGGAACAAACCTGCTGGCCAGCTGTTTTTATAAAGTTTTACTGGGAGACATTGTGCTCAGTCATTGATGTGTGGTCTATGGCTGGATTCCTATTACAACCACAGAACTGAACAGTTGTGACCTGGATTGTTTGAGCCACAAAATCATTTGCTTGCAAATAAAAGAAAATTACTTTCTGGCTGTTTACAGAGGAAGTTTGCTAATGCCTGTGTAGAGAGTTATTAGGTTGCTAAAATAATTAGCCTAAAAAAAAGATTGGCAAATTTATTTTTATTCTATATTGGGAGAGTACAGCTGAGAATTATTAACACCTGAGAAAGTAAATGTTTATGTGAAGCATTTTGCATTAGCAACTTAAATTGAATCATATCTTTGTCATATATCTATTTTTAGAATGTCTGGTTCTGACCATATCTCACTTTTGTATTCATTTTTGTTTATTTTTAAATATGGCTATGCCACATTTAACCTAGTAATTAAAGAAACCACATATCTTCAAAAATTTATGAAAGCATGGCCGTCAGAGCTCTTAAATATATGGGACAAACAATTGTGTGAGCCTGTGAATACACTGGTAGGTACCATCACAGTCGAAAACCACAATATGTAGACATACATCATTGAGCCATTCAAATAAATTTTTGTCCTCCAGCTGAAGAAAATTGAAAAATAGAAAACTAACTTGAGAAAGACTACTGAAATGTAGTTATCACAAAATTAAAAGATACGCCATTAAACTAATGACGGTGATAATTTCTTGCAGGTGCATCAGACAAAAATCAGTTTCTTCATCAATGGTTTGGAGGAGGACAGCACAGCTTTTGATGTGCAAACTCTAAGTGGTCCAATAATAGATTTTGCCTCTGGTGCTACGCGGATAGGACAGAGTTTAAATGGTAAGATTCTGCCTTCAGAAAATTATTTATTCAATTGTATTGTTACTGTGTCAAAAATAATATTTTAAAAATTTTAATACATATACCTAGAAATATGGTTGTAAATATAATTTTTCCAAAATGAAATTATGATACAAAGGCTTTCTTTGAGGCCTCTAAAAATAAATACTTCCCCTCTAGATATCTGTAGACAACTTCCTATGTTCACATGCCTTTTCATCCTATATAATAAAGAGGTAATATGCAAATTGACCATCACTCCAACACACAAGATGACCGCCCCCATGTGGTCAAAGATGGCCACCCCCATGTGGACACAAGATGGCTGGCAGGGGAGGGCAGTTGGGAGGGACCAGGCCTGCAGGGGAGGGCAGTTAGGGGTGACCGGGCTGGCAAAGGAGGGCAGTTGGGGGCAACTAGTCCTGCAGGGGAGGGCAGTTGGGGGGCGGACCAGGCCTGCAGGGGAGGACAGTTTGGGGGGCAGGCCTGAAGGATAAGGCCATTGGAGGTGACCAGGCTGGCAAGGGAGGGCAGTGGGTGATCAGGCAGGCAGACAGGCTAGCGGTTGGGAGCCAGCAGTCCTGGATTGTGAGAGGGATGTCCCAGATTGGAGAGGGTGCAGGCTGGGCCGAGGAACACCCCCCGCCCCGCATGAATTTCGTGCACCGGGCCTCTAGTTTAAAATAACTGCAGCGTGTATGATTGTATAGCTATAACAAAAAGTTTTTATACTTGTTTCTACTAATGAGCATGTTATTTGTAATATTTTGATATTGGAAGCTATTTGAGAGAAAACACAATGTATCTGTATTTATATCTATTGATCTCATATGCACATACAATCACAATGATATGTACACATATACATGCACATACATTTGAGCAGTTGTCTAATAGTGGAGTTCCTTAAGACTTTATACTTTTGGTGTCATTGTACCTGAGTTCAAATCCCATCTCCCCACTTACTAGCCATGTGACCTGGGTCACCTTTTTAATGTCTCAAATTTAAAATGATGTAGTTATTCCAAATTTAAAATGATGATGATGACGATAATGATATTACAGTTTCATTTGAGGATCACATGAGGTATATCATGAAAAGCATGACTATTTTTTGAGCATTTGGCATATAGTAGTTGTTCAATATTTATTGAATAAATGAATAACTGTACCTGGGCCTTGTATATACTAAACCATATTGAGATTTAATGCTATTGTTAATATTATTATATTTGTTTTGCTAACGTAAGTCCATAGAAGTTAGGTTGAAGTATATGGTCATTTTATATTTTAATGCATATTAGACAGATTGCCCTAATGCATAACAACAGGCTACTTCCTGTTGCCCATATTTTAAAATATGGGCAAGTACTTTCTTCCTTAAACACTAGCTGACCTTACAAATTATTCGCTTTTTTACCTTTGCCATTACTCTCATTGAAAAATATTGCCGGATGCCTCTTTAAATTATTTGGCCATTAGTAAGTTTGAGTAGCTTTCCACGTGTCTTTCTCGTTTGCATTTAATTTGTTGTGTGTTTATATTCATACTCTGGAATTTCTTACTTACTCGTAAAAGCTCATAAATGTTAAGAATGTTATGCTCTGCATGTCTTTTTTCCAGTTTTTAGGTAGCCTGATACGTTTGCATTATAGACATTTAAAAATATTTAAAAATTTTAAGAAAGGCGTAAACATGGATGCAACATAACACATAAATATGAAGGAGCCAGTTTGATGAATTTTTCATCTGTATCAGTAATTAGTATATTGAAGAATTTTATAAAGTACTCTGCATTCAGAATTTCTTAATAACACATTAAATCTTAGGAGCCTTGTTTCAATATTTAATCCCCATTAGTACTTCTGAAAGTGTTTTATTGCTCAGGTATTGCTCAAAGTATTCAATAGCCCCATAAATTTGTCTGCGATGCATGCCGGGGTTGAAATGAGTTGCTCATACTTCAGGGTCCTAACTGTGGGAGCCATGCTTCAAAAGGGTGGTATGGAGCCAGTGTGCTAGTCACTTCCAAACTGTGTGAAAGTAAATTTAACTTCTGATTAGAAAATATATCATTGGAAAAGGGTTTGTTTCAAATGTTACTTAGTTCTTCTTACGGCTTTCTCCTTAAGTTCCAGGCATCACAGAACTGAAGGAGAAAAGAACATTTAAAAATAAATTTTCTCTTTATTCCATCAATTTATAGGTACAGTTATACCTACTGTATCTTTTCTCTAATTAGAGATGGCACATAGCTGGCTCATTACTTCTGCCTAATGAGCCAGGCCTACGCCACCTCTCTAATCAGAAAGGAGGTGGGTGGAGAATGTTCCCCTGGACTTACTCTAAGTCATTTTCTTTCTCCCGCTCGCTCCTTTCCTTTAAATAAAAAAGTGAAGTCACTGCCCTCCATACTCTTGTCCATGCCCAAGACGGTTTCATTCAGGGGAGGTCAGCGTGCCTGCGAGCTGCATTAGAGGTGCTGCTGTGCAGGCCAGGCCGGCTGTCTGTGCTTCGGGGAAGGTGCGGACAAACACCGGGATCTCCATGGAGGGCCTGGAGGAGACCACGGGCCAGGCTTCCGTGTTTCCCCGTGTCTGCACCCCATCTTCACAAGTGTGTTGGCTGCTACAGACTTTTTTTTTTCAGTCTCATCACTACCTGGCATAACTTTCTAGAAAAATATGTTGCCAGTGACAGTCCCTGTTACTGCTGGCCTTGTGTTTCCACAGAGCCTTGTATACATATTCATGGAATATGTAGACATACTGTGTGTCTACATGTAAGGTACACACACATATATGTATACTAATACATACATAAATCATAGTGCATGCATACATGCATAATATAATGATAATGCACACATAATAATGTATATGAAATACATGTATATAATACCAACGGGAAAATCTTACTTGGTCAGGCAGGTTTTTAAATACACAAATAGAACACCTTAGACTATATCAAACAACACGTGTCAGTTCATTTGGAGAGCGTTTTCTTCCAGCTCTCCCGAGAGCAGCCTCGGACCATCTGGTGAGCTAGGCTTACTCTGCATCTCTTATTCATCACGATGCCCTCGCTCTGCCCCAGTTTCCTCCCAGGCACCACAAGGAGCTGCAGTACCGAGTGCTCCCACGTTCTCTGTTATTAAGATGAATTAAAAAAGGGAATAATTAAGAAACAAACACATTTGAGGAAGTGCTCGTTTGGTGAATTTTTCGTTGGTCTAAATTTAATACTTGAAAAACCCCACTTAATTATTGATTTGGCATTATTCATTACATCCCATCCCATCTTGTGTCCTCATGATTCAAACTCTAGCTAGAATTTTGCCAGTTTTAAGTTTTTCTCATTATTAACAACATAACGAAAACCATAGAGGTGGTAGTTGTTTTACTTTTTTTTCTCTTCCCAGTTTCTTGGACTTACCTGTTGGTAAATCTCAAATAAATATTTGCTAAATGAATTAATGAAATGTTATGTGGTTTAAGGTTGATGTCTACCTCCACCTTGGAAGGTTACCTAATCGAATGCAGCTTGGACTTGGAACCTGGTGTCTTAGAAGAACTGTTACAAGGTGGTGGCATTTTGAGACTATGATAGGATGCCATTGACATGTGAATAATTCAGACTCATGAGTAGGAGGTTTCTAGTTTATCCTCATTCATTGGGGGTTTCCTAGACCAGGTGTCAATCTACATTGGGTGGGGACCCGAGCTGATGGTCTGGAGCTTGGAGATCACTCAGGTGGGGTGAGAGAGTGGGCAGTCTCCTTGCCACTGCAGATGCTCTGAAAATTGCACTTGGGAGCAGATGACAATCAGATTTAGGGCTGATGAGCTGATCGATTTACAGGTTTATAAACTGGAGAGAAGTTTGACTTGGGGAGGGGACTTCTGGGGAGAGGTCACAAGTTGGGCCAGGAGATAGATTGGCCCAAGTATTCACTTTGCCTGAGTCTTATAATGTCTGTGGAGATAACTATGAGTGTTAATGTTATTCACGTGGAACTAGCACAATATACATATTGATCTCTTAAGTGTTTGAAAAGGCTGTGATACGTACATGATCAAAAGTTGTTTTGCTTTAAGGGAATGTCACTTGAATATTTGTCAGCCACTGCTTGGTAACATCATACTTCTCATACTATGTACATGATTGTATTTTGTAGGTTTAGAGCAGTTTGTTGGAAGAATGCAAGATTTTCGATTATACCAGGTGGCACTTACAAACAGGTAAGCAGCATGGTATGGTAAAGCTCCAGAAATCTTTAATCTTTATATAATAACTGCTGTTCTTGTTAACGACGTTCTTTTTCTTGAAAAGCTGTTGCTAAATCAGTGATGTGTTTTATAACTTGCTAGAGGACTGGTGCCAGGATTTGTGCACTGGTGGAGTCCCTCAGCCTGGCCTGTGGGGATGGGGCCGAAACCAGCTCTCCAACATACCCCAAGGGGTCCTAGATTTCGAGGGGGCACATGCCAGACGAGGGATCCCATCAATGCACAAATCCATGCACCAGGCCTCTAGTATAAATATAAATGCTGAATTCACTTAAGTAAGCGTAGCACGAAGATTAATGTTAGGGTAGAGGAGGGCATAGAGGGGATAAATGGTTTTGAAAAAATAAAATATAAAATACATTTCTGAAGAGCAGTCTTGTAGTAATTTGGTGAGAATGAAGTTTGTCCTGGGGGCAAAGATGTCATTGCATAATCACTTCTGGTCCCGCTTAAAACCTGATATCAACTGGAAGATGTCAATGAGATCGAATGAAGTGACTTCATGTGATCTAGTGAACGCAATAGCTGCCTGCCTCCGCCACTCCCCGACCAGGGTTGAGAGAAGGAGTCTGTCTCTCCTTAGACCTGGTTGCTGGCATTGGCCTACCTACCTCAAATGTAGGAATGGTGTCATGTGGAAGAATGCCCACACACAGAGTGACGAATTCCGTTTTAGAATAGGTATTCTGCCCTTAATGGAAAAGTTAAGTCTGTCTGCCTGGAATTGGCTTTCTTCTTGGGCTCTTGGCAGCTGCCCTATGAACTGAAGCCATCGGAGCGTTTTAGGTGCCAGGGTTGGTACCGATGAGTCACAGGAAGCCGTTGACAAATGGCCTTGGCCGGAGGCCCTTCCCCTGAAACAGCAGCAGATGAAGTGATGCTGTTTTCTTGCTTCCCGCGGATGAGCTGGAGAACGCGTCTATAACTCATTACTTTCAATATATCATTGGTCACTCAGTGGTCAGCTTAACAACCTAAGTGAATATTACCTTTCTTTTTATTACAAATAGGCACTGTAAAATATTATGCGATTCAAAGAAACATCTTGCAAATAGGCACCATAAAATATTATGCTATTTTAAAACATATCTTGCTAATCAGACAAGGGATTGTCCATGCTTCATGGTAGAAAATGCTAGTCCTTAAGAATTAAATGTTTTTTTTTTAATAAAATTAGCATGTTTCATTTTATGAGAATGAGTATGTTTATGGGGCCCGGAATTAATTTGGTTTTATGTTCTGTGTAAAAAAATATGAAAGCTAAATAGATACTAATGAAAACATCAACATACTGGTATTCGTTTGTAACATCCCTTAGAACAGTGGTCACCAACCTTTCGGCCCTCGCCGACCACCAGCTGGCGACCGCTGCCTTAGACTATCTATGGCTGTTGAGCTATTTGTCCTCACCATCTGCCTCTTGACCTCACAGAGAGATTGGGGCCATCCCTGCTGGAGCTCTGCCCACCTTGCACGTCCAGCCCCACTGCCGCTGCCCAGGCAGCCACCCGCGGGTGCATCCCCTGCGCCAGCGGTTCTGCATTCCCAACGATGCGGAGGACACGACCAGGGACAGGGTGTCTCGGCTGCATCCCGAGGCCCACCCTCTCTCCTTTGTCAACGATGACGACGTTGAGACTTCCTGGGTCTCACGTGTGTTTACAAACGTCACCCAGCTTAATGAAGGAGTGACTATCTCCATAGATTTGGAAAATGGACAGTATCAGGTAACTTGAAGTAATTTGGTATGTATTCATTGCCTGTGGGTATTGCAATAAATGACCACTAATTTAATGGCTTGACACAACGGACATTTATTCTCTCAGAACTCTGAAATCAGAATGAGGAAATCATTCCTCTGGCTAAGGGTGGATCCTTCCCGCCTCTCCCAGCTCCTGGCAGCTCCTGGTGTCCCTTGGTTTACTCCCGCATCACTCCAGGCCCTGCCACCAGGTCCCAGGGTCGTCGTCTTGTTGCTGACTGTCAGTTCTCCCTCCTCTTTCTCTTTTGAGGCCACCCTGCATCCAGAAGGATCGCCTATTGAGACTCCTAACTTAATTACATCTTCAAAGGCCCTCTTTTCAAATAAGGTCACATTCACAGCCACCAGGAGTTAGAATTTGAACATCTATTTAGGGGCAGAATTCAGCGTACCACAAGGTAAAACCTGAATTAGGCAATTGAACATAACCTCAGTAAAGAAGTATATTATAATTTATGAAGTGAAAATACCTAAAAGAAGATATGCAGGGCATGAATTTTTAGAGATTGTTATAAAAAATCCTATGAAATAGTGAAACATTCATTTTGTTAAGTAACCAAATTAATAAAAACAGGTGCTTACTTTAAATAACTACTTAAGAAGAACATAGCAATTATTTCATGGAAGTAATGTGTTTTTTTTTTCGTGTCTTTATAGCAAACTTCATATTTAGCAATTATTTCATGAAAGTAATGTGTGGTTTTTTTTCGTGTCTTTATAGCAAACTTCATATTGATTTCCACTTAAATTTGTAAAATCCTTGAGAAGATGCACAGCTATGTAATGATAGGTTGTGTTGCTTTTACTGCAGGGCTGTGGCATTTCTGAATGTCTATGAGTACTTACAGTTATTATGAGGAAATAAACATTATATTTGAAGGCACCAGTTCCATGGTTTGATTTATACAACAGTGGTAATAATTGACTTACTCATTTCCAGGTGTTTTATATCATCATTCAGTTCTTAAGTCCACAACCAACAGCAATAAGGATGCAGAGGAAGAAGGAAGACAGCGAAGATTGGGAAGATTGGCAATATTTTGCTAGAAATTGCAGTGTTTTCGGAATGAAAAACAATGGAAATTTGGAAAATTCAGATTCGGTCAACTGTCTTCAGCTTTCAGAGTATGAATCTTTTTGAAACCATTGTCTGTGAAGGCATTTAGGAGTTAATTCTCATAGACTATGGGATAGTAATAGCCTACAGGTACTAGGCTAGTAGAGTCTTTCTCTTACCACCATCTCTTGAGGCAAATTGGTCTAGGATTCCTTCCTACACTGGATTTTAAATTATGTTTAAATTTACTTGTAAAGATGTTAGAGTATTTCTTGCTTCCAGTCTCATCTGTGCTTTATAATCTGACTTTCAGATTGCTTAGCAAGTTATCTGTATCAATAGAATTTTTATGATGTCCTCAAGGAAATGTTGTACTATGTTTTTCTGTGATGATCCTATATGCACATGAAATCTGTGGACTATTTTTCCCAGAATGAAGAATTTGAGCTGTTACGGAATATGGTGTTCTGATTTGTTTTGTCAAAAATATGAATAACTTCTCATGATTGCAAATATCTTTCCTCAACAGTTTTACTCCATATTCCCGTGGCAATGTCACATTTAGTCTCCTAGCACCTGGACCAAATCACCGTCCTGGATACAATGACTTCTATAACACCCAGTCTCTTCAAGAGTTTGTAAAAGCCACCCAAGTAAGACTTCATTTTCATGGACAGTACTATACAACTGAGCCTCCCACCAGCCTCGGACACAGATACTACGCGGTCAGTGAAGTCACCATCACTGGCAGGTAGGGTTTCACAGCAGTGTGCTTTTCACTACGAATTTTGCTTTCCAGATTGTTGTCAGACTTATGCAAAATGATGTTAGTTGAGATTTTAGAGCAAGCCAGATTCCAAGCTTCAGGTATTAAAATGCTTTCCTACTCGATAAGATTTTTGGGGGAGGTTTGTATATGAGTCTTTTCTGTCTAAAAGATTACATTTCTATAGAATCACTTTTCAAAATATTGGGTTTAGAAGTTATGATAACCTGGATCTGACTAAAAAAAATAACTTGTCAAATATTTAGATTGGTGTGTTCTGGATTGTAATTTTCAAGTGTTCTAGAAATGAAACAGAAGGGGTTTGATTTTGAGTTATAATGGTGCTACCAGTTAGTTTGTAAGTACTGGCCTTGGTCTCCCTGGGTTCACAATTCATAACTTTATGAAGAATATTTGTTTTCCTTTAAAGGAATAATCTATATGCCTTAAGTAATTTATAATTGTCTGACCATTATTGAAAAGTAGACTCACAATGTTTAAATAAATGGATGAAGAGCTCCCCGGCAGCGTACTCTCTAGTCTGGAAATGGTAAACATATAGCCTACATTCAGAATTGGGTTGTGCTGGAAGGACATTGTACCCTGTAAAGAAAGTACATCTTTCAAACCAACGCAGAATACCAGTCTATAAGCTTTATTTGTTAAGTAACAGCATGATTTAAAAAAATACTATTAAATAATCAATTTTTGGAAAGATAAACAAAAATAAAGTTTGTTAACTTCTACCTGCAGTTTATCCTAAACCTGCTGGTCTTAACTATAAGTTTTGAATAGTTTTATTAAATGTCTTCTCTCTGGGCAGGTTTGCCACATGGTGTTTATAGGTGTACACAACCCAGGTAGGCTTGAAAATTACCTTCACCATCGCTGTGGTTTGGATATTCATGAAACTTCCTTCAATACTTCATGATTAATTTAAAACTTTCCATGAGCCCTGGCCAGTGTGGCCCAGTTGTCCAGTGAATGATGTCCAGTGTACCAAAAGGCTCCTCTTTCCAATCCTGGTCAGGGCACATGCTCCACCCCTCTTCCCAGTAGTGGGCATGCAGGAGGCAACCTTCTGCTCTCACATTGATGAGTGTGTCTCTCTCTCTTTCTCTTTCTCCCTCCCTCCTTCCCTTCCTCCCTCCCTGCCTCCCATTCTCTCTCTCCCCACTCCTCTTTCTCTAAAAATTAATGAAAATAAATTTTTTAAAAATACAAGTTTCCATGAATATCCACATGACTAAAGAGAGGTTGGTTTTTGTGTTGACACTCTCACCTCCTTGTTGGATTCACACAGTGGGTATATACCCAGGTCCTTAGAGGTATTAGCAGTTGAGCTGCTGTTTCCTGGTAGCTGTCTGATGGATGCTCCTGTTCGCAGGTGTCAGTGTCACGGTCACGCCGACAGCTGTGACACGACGAGCCAGCCCTATCGGTGCCTCTGCTCCCGGGAAAGCTTCACCAGGGGACTTCATGTGAGTGCTGTTTCATGTGTGGAAACCCCCAAAGGGGATGGGGGAGCTTGAGAAATAGCGAATATAAATTCTTCAAACTTACTAGTACTTTTGGCCTGTCTTCTGGGTATGAATAAAAGTATGTGATAAGAATCTAAAAATGTCAATTATTTTAGAAAAAAATTAAAGAAAAAAAATAAAAACCCTCAATAACCCTCAATAATGTTGAAAATTTCTTTTTAAAAAATAAACCCAGAGGGTTTTCTTAATTTTTCTTGTTTCATCAGCATTATCCTAATTCATAAAACAATTGAAAAAAACGTGTCTAGGTTTCTCAAAAAAATTAAAAATAGAACTACCATATGACTCAGCAAATTCAGTTCTGGATATTTATCTGAAGACGGACAAAACACTGTTTTGAAAAGATAAGTGCACCCCTCTGTCTATTGCAGCATTATTTGCAGTAGCCAAGATATGGACATGACCTAAGTGTCCTTTGGTAGATGAATGAATAAAGCAGTGGTTGCCATTTGTGACAACATGGATAGACCTAGAGGGTATTTTGCTAAAAGAAATAAATCAGAGAGAGATAGACAGATAGTATATGATTTCATTTCCATTGGAAATCTAAAAAACAAGATAAATGAGAAAACCTAACAGAAACAAACTCATAGATACAGAGAATAAATTGATGGTTGCCAGATTGGAAGGGAGTTGGGAGAAATGGGTAAAAAAGAAGGGATTAAAAGTACAAATTGCCAGTTATAAAAATAGTCACGGTATAAAGTAATAAGCATAGGGAATATCAATAAAATAGTAATAACTATGCATAGTGTCAATGAGTACTAGATTTATTGGGATGATCACTTCCTAAGTTATATGTCTAAATAATATTGTATGCTAACTGTGATTTAAAATGAAATTTAAAACTGGCTCTTTGATAAGGTACTTTGTTTTCTGCGCCTCTCCTGTTTTATTTTGACTTGTTAGTTCCCACCCACCTCCAAACACCACTCTCCTCTCTCCCCCTCTTGGTGCCCCATCCATGTTTCCTCTTTTCTCTCTCTTGAATTTCTCACATTGAAGTGATTAATATTTTATGATTCTTGGGTGATTTCATGCTTCCCCTTAAAAATAGAGCCGTTAAATGAATCCCAACTCAGGATTGGTTACAGAAGGCACGTTGGGACTTTCACACTTGGTCTCAGGTGGTGACTGTTAGATTATGAACTAGTGCAATAATTAACCATAATTTAGGTGGGGAATACATTTTGATGCTTCTTATTTAGACATAAAGTGCCTTTTGAAAACAAAAAGTTGACTTTTTTTGTTATTTTCCTGTTTGACACCTTTTGATAATTTATGAATTTAGCCATAAATATAAAAGCAACAAATAGCTTCCACTTTAGCAAAATTTGGCAAATGCAGCTGAAGGGAAAAAGTCAATAGACTGTTACGTTGAGTGATTTCTCAGTCCTATATTTTCAACAAGGTGTTGAAAATGAAAAATGATTTTATAAAACATTCATAAGCATGGCATTCTCTTTGTGTTATCATTCAAAGTGTTTTAATACATGTGGGACTCAACGTATCTGAAAAAGTTGTCTTGCAATAGTTTGAAAATATACTTACTCAAGTGCTTTACACATTGTCCTTCCTTTTAAAATAATGTTTTAAGATAAGCCATTCATTTCCTATTGGAACCAATGTTCTTTTTAAAGATCTGGACCTAATCCAAAAAGAATGTCTTCAATTTCACAGTATTATGCTAACCATTAATAATATTACTCAATAAACAGGGCTTTTGTGAATTACATTACAGCCATTTGGCAAACAGACGAACACGTAAGCCTTGAGAATATGCCAGTTCTCGGCAATTGTCAGGCCTGTGAGAAAGTGATTTTAGGAGGAGTGAAAATGAATGAAGTTGGGAGAAAGCAGTGGAATGATGAATTCAGGAACATTTTCATGTACGGAGCCATTCTAGGGAATTTTCTGTATGAAGCATTCTTCTGTTGTTTCTAAAGGTTATGTCACAAATCGGTGGTCCACAGGTTTTTTTTGTTTTAATTTTGAAGACGAGTTCTCTGGTGCATTGGCTGCTAAATCGCTCCACTCTACCTTCCTAGCTCTTTTTTTGATCATTTCCTAACTAGTGGTGCCAGTAGCTTTATTGCAATACAGTACCTCTGGTCCGCCTGCTCAGAAAGTCCATCATCACTTTCCAAAAGCTTGTGTGCAGTTCATAGATACAGACCACAGCCTAGGAAGTGGAAGCTTGGGTGTGTGTCGTATATGTCAACTAACATGGTTGTGTAGCTACAATAGGCCTTTTCTATTTTTTTGTTTTTTGGTTAATCCTCACCCAAGGATTTTTTTCCATTTATTTTCAGAGAGAGTGGGAGAGGGAGAGAGAGAGAGAGAAACATCGATGTGAGAAAAGACACACATTAACTGGTTGCCTCCCACATGCATCCCAACCAGGGCTGGATTCAAGCCGGAAACTCAGGTGTGTGCCCCTGACCGGTATCAAACCCAGGACCCTTCAGTCCATGGGCCGATACGCTATCCAGTGAGCAAACTGGCTCAGGCTATGCCTCCTCTTTTCACTAATACTTTATTGATCTGTTCTAAGAGTTCCAGTGTTGATAGACTCTAGCTTTAAGAAAAGTATTACATGCCCTAACGGGTTCGGCTCAGTGGATAGAGCGTCGGCCTGTGGACTTAAGGGTCCCAGTCAAGGGCATATACCCTGGTTGTGGGCACATCCCCAGTAGGGAGTGTGCAGGAAGCAGCTGATCGATGTTTCTCTGTCATCGATGTTTCTAACTCTCTATCCCTCATCCTCCCTCTCTGTAAAAAAAATCAATAAAAAAAAGAAAAGTGTTAGAAGTTGAAACTTGCATCCTTAGGATTTTCATTTTATTCTAATAGCTGCGTTCACCTTTCTGAGGCTCTAGGCCAGGAGTGACGCAATGACCGGTACCTCCGCCAAGCACTGGCACTCTGTTGGCTACTTAGCTATTCTTTCATCATTTCGTGACATCATTACCTGCAAGGGTGGCCAAGCGTTCACAGAGCAATTCATTAGGAACCATGAATACTCCTCTTATTCTTTGGCTCTGATTTGTGACCCTCTTATAACATCGATCATGGCTTTTATGAATTAACTACAGTCAAACTATCAATATGAATCTCAGTATTATAAATGGCAGAGCCAACTTAAAACATTTTATATAATAAGCCTTCCTACCATTCAGTAATTTGATGGTGAAACATCACACACTCTATAATGCTTATTATGCAAATGAATATTTCCTGTTATTTTAAAAAGTATGTTCCTTTAGATCACAAAAGTCTGAAAATATGAGTCATCATGACTCACTTGTGTCATATTTTTACTACACATCAAACCCCACCGCTGATGTTTTCTCTTTGCTCACAGAAAGATTATACTCTCAATATATTTCATTTCGTGTTATAATTTTTGTAATACTGATGAATTCATTTTTATTAACTATCATTCAAGCAGTTCATATTATAGATTCTACATTAGTTGTACATTTAGTGAGTCAAGGTCAAGCATTTCATTTACTCTCTGACACATGGTGATATTTTTAATCTTTGAAAAACACTTGCACTAGTAATTTCCCTGAGATAGATATGTGCATAAAGGCATTTAAAATGTAAGTTAAATATAAAAAAAAGATTAAGAGCATGGGGTATATTGAGACAGATTCATAGAAGTAGCAAATATAGATGATGAAAACAACAAAAAAAATGAATTTGAAGGGATAAGGGTAAAGGATTTTCCAAAGTTGAGGAATGGCATGGTTCTTGGAATTCTAAGTAGACTGAGAAAAAATAAACACATACACAGGTAAGATATAATAATTCTGCTGGTCACCAAAGACCAAGAGTAGATCCTAACAATAACCAGAGAGAAAAAGTCAAATGATTAATAGACACAAATGTTTAAGAAATTGTGATATTAGATTTTTCAAATTACAACGGAAGGCAGAAGACAGTGAAATATTACCTTTGAAGTGCAGAAAGAAATAACCAACACCTCTAGAATATTTTATTTGTAGCTAGACTATCAGTAAAAGCATATAATTCCTAGGAATAAAGTTAACCAAAGGGGTGAAATGCCTGTACTCAGAAACCTACAAGACATTAAAGAAAGACATCGAAAAGGATACAGATAGAAGGATATACCATCCTTGTGTGTCGGAAGGATTAACACTGTTAAAATGTTCTCACTACCTAAAGCAATATACAGATTCAATGCAATCGCTATTAAATACCAGTGACATTCTTCTCAGAACAAGGACACTTACTCCTAAAATTATTATGACCCTCCATCTACCAAAAAACCCAGTAGTCAAAGAGAAAGAACAAAGTGGGAGGTATCAGACTCCCATATTTCAAAGTAAACTACAAAGCTACAGTATTCAAAATAGTCTGGTATTGGCATAAAAACAGATATATGTAGATCAATGGAATAAAATGGAGAGCCCTCAATTATATGGTCAATTAATCTATGATAATAAAGGCAAAGATAGACAATGGGATAAAGAAGAGTCTGAGATAATGGTGTTGGAAAAACTGGACAGATGAATGCGAAACTAAGAAAAAAAGAAGAAATTGTACCACTGTCTTTCCCCATATACAAAAACAATCTAAAAATGGGTTAAGGACTTACATGTAAGACCTGATACCATGAAACTTCTATAAGAAAACATAGGCAGTAGACACTTGACATCCGTCAGAGAAATGCAAATCAAAACTATTATGAGAGATCACTTCACACCTGTCAGAGTAGCTATCATCAAAAAATCAAATAGCAAATGCTGATAAGGATGTGGAGAAAAGGGAATTTTCATACACTGTTGGTAAAATTGTAAATTGGTTCAGCCACTATGGAAAACAGTATAGAGATTCCTCAAAAACTTTAAAATAAAGCTGTCATAAGACATAGAAGCCCCATGCTGAAAAGTACATAGATTATCAGTTCTATT